TGCTTCTATTTGCATGGTAAATGTTTTTTCCATCTCTTCACTTTGTCCGTGTGTGTCTTTAGGTGTGAGTGAGTCTCCTGTAGGCAGCATAGAGATGGGTCTTGCTTTATCCATTCAGTCACCCTGTGTCTTTTATTGGAGCATTTAATCCATTTACATTTAAAGTAATTATTGATAGGCATGTATTACTATCATTTTGTTAATCATTTTCTGGTTGTTTTTAATTTCTGTTCCTTTCTTCTTTTCTTTCTTCCCTTGTGATTTGATGACTTTCTTAATGTTATGTTTAGATTCCATTCTCTTTATTTTTTGTGTCTGTTGTAGGCTTTTGGTTTGTGGGTACTGTGAGGTTCATATATAACATCCTGTGTATTTAGCAGTCTGTGTTAAATTGATGGTCACTGAAGTTTGAACACATTTTAAAAGCACAGGTTGAGAAATTTTATGGCCCCTTTTAATATTTGGAATTTCCTAGGACAGTAAGCATCTTAAATAATTGTTCTGGTCTTTTATAATCTGTTTTAACTTTAGGCCATTCATAGAAAGTTCTATTTCTAAAAGTACTTTTAACATTTTTTAAAATAATTTCAATGGATTAGCAATTTATAACATTTTGTCATTTTTATTTTGATGTGGGTTACCTATATGTGTATGTAATTTTTTGAATGAGATTTACTTAAGAAAAAGGACATTGGAATGTTTTTTTTTTTTCTATCTTGAATATATAAAAGCATTGATGTGAACATATTTGTGTGACTAGAGCAATTCTCACTGCTTTTCAGTGACGTGGAGCAGACTGCACCAATGGAAGAGACCACAGCGGTGGAAGAGTCCCCAGGCGCCCTGGAGGAGGAATCTCCAGCCAAGTGGGTGTTTTACTCACTTTTCCCATGAGTTGTTGTTGGCCTTGTTCTTAACGATTTCTAAGAGCGCTTCACTGAACAAGGAGCTCAGCCTTTTGTTATATCACAGAAGGTTGACCTTAATGTATCGATGAATAATCAAACTAATTAATAATTCAAATAATCTAATGAATGATTATTAATGATAATTAATGAGTTAAATTTAAGTATCCCATTCAGTGCCCACAACCTCTTTTCCATCAGCATCCTGTACTGCAATTATTCTCCCTCTTATCAGGACCCTCGTCTCTCGTTCCTTTATTCTCTCTGTGACCATCCTCCCTCTTTTCTTCATGGAGCTTAGGTCCCTGGTCCACCTCTAGCATCCTTGCCCAGTCCTTAACCTCCTTTGCCTCTGGATCTTCTGTTGTGCCTTGCTAGCAAAACCTGCCTCCTGGATGACCACTGGCTGGCTGCCCTCTCTGCCTGTACTGGCCAGCTGAGCACTGACAACAGCAGAGCCGACAGGAACCCCTGTAAATTGTTGATCACCTGCATTCTGAAATGAGCCCTTAACACTGCCCATCAGTCCCCTTTTCTGGGGCTCATTCTTTCTCCCACCCTCTACAATGACCAATTCCATCCTTCTTGTATCCTCTAAGCCCTGACACTGTCCCCACTTTACTCTTCCCCCACCCTTCCCGTACCTGCACCTCCTCTTTTACTTTCTCGACATAACTTTGCCTCCTATGTCACACAGAAATTGAGAGCCACCAGCTGGGAAGTTTATCATCTTCCCGCTCTTAAAGGTACAAACCCACCTGTGCCTGCATACCTCCTAGCCTCCTTCCCTCATGGTAAGAAAGAGGCACCATCTCTCCTGCCACTTCTTCAGGCTTTGAATCCTGTCTCCTGCTGACTGCGTGGAAATCTCACACCGTCAGTCAGCTCTTTCCTCATGAGTCTGCTTACCTTCCTCCCAACTCTGGTCTTCATCAACAGTTTAAACGTGCTCGGTGTCTCCTATTTTAAGTCTTCTACTCTTGCCCCACATTCTCATTTAGCTGCCTTTTTCAGGGTTGTGTGTACTCTTCCTTCACTTCCTCCCTCTCACTTATGCCTCACTTCACTCCAGATCTGGCTCTGTCCCCATTGCCCTTTGGAAACAGTCACCACATGTCTCCACACCTAATAGATGTTTCCGTCTGCATCTTTGTTGACCTGTCAAAGCATTTGACTTTATTGATTTCTTCTTAAGCTCTCTTTCCCTGATTTCTGTGATGTCTGCACTCTTCTGGTTTTCCCACTGCCTCTCAGCTTCTCCTCTACAGACTCATCCTTATTTTTCTGGTCTTTTAAAATGTCAAGTTCTTTATGGCTCTGCCTTAGGCCCTCTTCTCTTTAGTGTCTTTTATAGGATCTCCCGTACCCTTGCAGCTCGGGTCATCATTCATGTATCAACTCCAGAATGTATACCTCTGGCTCTCACCTTCCACCTGGGCTCCAGGTGTGTGTTTCTAGCTGCTTGCTCTGGATATCTCCCCATGGATATTTCAGATCTCCTGCTCCGTGTGTCCAGGAGAAGTCTGTCTTCATTAGGTATTTCCATCTTGTGGAGCAGCCCATCACCATCCATCCAGCTGCACAAACCAGAAACCTAAGAGTCATCCTTGAGACTTTCTTCCTCTTGACCCCCTCCCTTCCCCAAATCCAGTCTGTCACCCTGCCCCGGTGATTGTACCTTCTCTTCTCTCTGCTCATCACCATCATCTCATCCAACCTGTCACCACAACTCCTTATGGGCTCCCTGCTTTCTCATCTGGGACCAGCCCATTTCTGCACCACAGTGGCTTTCACACTGACATTCTGATTGTCATGCACCCACCCTTCATGCGAGACCCCCCGTGGCTTGCTGTTCTCTTCCTATCCCTTGACCTGACCTGCAGGGTCCTGCGTGGTCTATACCCTGCAGAGCTCTCAAATGCAGCCACTTGTGTACCTTCTCTGGGTTCATCACGTTGCCCTTATGTCATGTTCTCAAGGACCTTTCCCCTACCCCCGTCCTATACATGCCAAAGCGCTTCAGCAAGTGCTGTTGCCTTTCCCCCCACCCCATACCTCTCCAAATTCCCTTCCCCCTTCACTGATTTAACTCTTCTCATCCTTCAGCTGCCAAGAAGCAAGGTGTCTAGTGGTTAAGAGCACAGACCCCAAGCCAGAGTGTGGATTCAAATCTCAGCTCTGTCACTCATTAGTTTGGGCAAGTTGTTTATTCTGTCTGTTCCAGTTTTCTTCACATGTAAAATAGGAATAATAATAGTACCTACATCATAAGGTTGTTATAAGGAGTGTGTGTGTGTGTGTGTGTGTGTGTGTCTGTCAGTCACAGAGTGGGGCCTGGCATGTAGTTAATGCTATATAAATATCTGCTATTATTATTGCAAAAGTAAAATGCTGCAATGATTGATAATTATGAAAGCTGTTAATTTACTGTTCAAAACAACCAAGAAGTATATTTAAGTAAAGAGAGAAATTAACAATATGAATATTTAGACAGTGATTTAACTAAGGAAGTAGATTAACAGTTTACATAAATGTTGAAAAAGTGAGTTAACTAGATCCCTTCAGGAAAAATGGTACCTTTTTTGAGCCAATAAACCATTTATACAAATTCAGGTTATGTAAGGCAGAATAATAAATTATAGCATAATTCTGTGGAATTGATTGAGATACCCTTGCTTTCCTAATATTAAATCGACAAAATAGTTCTCTCGGTCAGTTACTCTGAAAGACAGAATTCTAAATGGTTTGATGGCGGTCTCGTGTCTGCACGAGAGCCCAGCCCGCTTTCTCCCCTCCACTGCCTGCAGTGGGCAGTGAGCATCTAGTTAGGTCTGCAGGAGCTGCGCGGCCGAGCAGCCACACTAGCAGACCAGTGGCCGACCGCGCTGCGACATTCTTATCTCCGCACTGCCCCGTCACACTTTAAAGTTATTACTAAAATTCCTAGTAATGCAGTTACAGGTTTGTGATAATTTCAGAATTAGGTTTGTATTTGAGAAGTACATTCGATGATAGTGATGCTGTCTGATCTCAGCTTTTTCTCACGTTGATCTAACACTCAGACTTTGGACCCCGAGCCAAAATGTATATTCAATGCGCCGCTCAGTTTAGAACTTCCTGATAGATCAATTTAATATACCCTCACTTACATTCAAACATACACCCCGAAGAAGATATATTTTCCTCAGATTGGACACGTTTTGTTGACAATTATATGTGCTGTGCCCTTCCTTCCTTCCCTCCTTCCCCCTTTCATCATAGAAGTATTGCATGTTCCTTAATCACATGGTGTCCTCATGTCTGAAGATGCTTGTGACAACTTCTCGGGAGTATTTTGTTACAAGACTATAAGAATAAATCTAACATTTATAGAGCATTTGTTGTGTGCCAGGAACTCGAAATGCTTCCATGTCTTAACTCCTCAATCCTTTGCTGCCCTTTAGTGAAGGAGGAGATACTGTTACTATCCTCATATGGAGATACGGAGGTTAAAGGGCTTGCTAAGAAGTGGCAACCAGATGTTGTGGGACCGACATTCATGCTCTTTCCTGTAGTGAATGGTAGGAACGGTTGAAAGTGCCACGAACGCTTTGAAGTTTGCTCCAAAGAACTGAACAGGGGAGAAGCTGCTGGTTCTGTGAGCAGAAGAGGGGCTGCTGGGGTTGCTGAGGACTTTCCTATTCAGTAACATGGAATGACATTCCCTTTCTTCCTTAAAAATAAAAAAGCCATTATGAAAAGAGTGTTAAAGAAGCATCATTACAAAAATACCTGCAATGAAGTATTTCTCATTGTAATTCATTTCCAAGTATTTTTGCTTAATGAAGATTGTCCTGTGTTGAATTTTCTTAAAGCTGGAAAACACCTCTTTAAAATTTATATGGCAAATTTCTGAGGAGCTCAAAGTTTAGCATGAAATTCACTTCAATTTCAGTACTTGGGAAGGAAGGAAGAGGTGTTACTTACATGTCAGGTTAAATCCACTTGCCCTGGTTAAGTATTTAGTTCATAAAATGTTATTTCTAGAACCCACTTTTTTTGGTTCCCTGCACCCTTTCATATATTGAGGTGAAAGATATTGCCTGAATGGATATTTGGACGTTTGGTGTTACGTATGTTTTCTGTGCCCACATCTTGACTCTCTTCCGTCTCCATGCATTTCTCTGTCCTCTTATTCCCTCAAGGTGGTGGAGTCTGGGCTTTGGAGATGGAATGTATAGGTATGAAACATGGCTCTTTTGTTTGTGAGCTATATGACTCTGCCTCAGTTTCCTTACCTATAAAATGGAGCTATTAATTGGAGCTAACTTGTGGGATTAATTTTCACGACCAAATTAACGTAAAGTCCTTTGAATAGCGTTTGGCACCTAGGACTCATTCAGTAAATGTTACCATTATTGCCCCATTTATGTTTTAAATAAAGTAACAGTTGTTAAAACAGTTCTATTTCTCCTATAATTTCACCCATATAGAAACAAATGTATAACTATCAAATTTGCATATAGCATTATTCACATTACAAGTCATAGATTAGACCATCTTATATCTATAAGCAGCTTTGATGGAAAATCATCTCCCAAGATTTTTGGTAATAGACCAAGAACTGTGAAGACTTTGAATTAGTCAAAATGGGGGGGGGGGGGGGAATGCTGTTAAATTTGGAGGATGTAAATAGCAATTACAATGCTTTTATAACTGTTAGAAATATAACTGCTTTCGTCCCTCCTGGAACTGAGGGATTAATTATACATCTCTTCCTGTTGAAAATCCAGTCTTTGGTAAAACTGCCAGTAAAAACTGCATTTAGTGCCAATTCAAATAGGATGGAAATGGGATCTGCCTCACAGAACTTTCATAGAATGTGTTTTTTGTAATAATCTGTAGTGAATAGAGAATAAGGTTAAGGAGTCTGTCCTTGGTGATTTTGTACTGCTCCCAACACAGCTTGTTGCAATGACAAA